AGCTTATAGCAACTATCTTACAACCAATTTCGATTATGGCGAATTTTAGTTAAGACCTTTTATTAACTTACTTAACAGACAACGTCATTTGAATAGTAACAATTCACATATATGTCTTTGTACCGTTATGATCATTAGATCACATGATAAACTCGAGCTCAAGTGTTGAATGCTTAAATATCACTTCATGATTCATTCTCTTCCTCATGTATATATGATCTCAAATCCTATTATTAACCTTCGCCTTGCCTAGCTGCACCTTATTCGATTTAACTAGAAACTCACCTCTGTATTTGATCACACACACATATTCTCCGCTCTGCTTCAAATCCGTTCGATGTGCTCATAGCTTTGTGGTCTGAGCTATCCGCTAATAAACTGTAGTTGCCTTTGCTCTTTGCCTTCTGATTTCAAACACCGTCGAGGTTTATATAATAACGGTTACGAGGGTGATTAGTTAACGAAGCAGAGCCACTACAAGTTACAAACTCCCCTATTCATAGCCACTTTCAGTTTGATCTTGTAAAATTATTGTTTTTCATTTTACCATAATGATGTGGTCAGGTATGTCCATACATAAACCACGTATGATCTGAAATATAATATTCGTATAGTGGAGACTGATTACTCTATTCTGGACTCGACGATTGTAGCAAGGAGATGACTTAGAAGGGAATCAAGGACACTAGTACTGGTTAATGTGTCATTGGTTAACTCAGGAGTGGTTTTATCACATACTATTAGCCATAATTCATGACACAATTGACACAGTTTAATTTCTATGAATTTCAATGTTTTCTTTAAAATCAAGACGTATACAATTGAACTGATTAGGGAAAAAACCCGACCGTTGTTACTACCTTGACGTGGTGGTAGGGCATGCCTATCGTAATGAACCAATCGAACTATACTGGCTGGAACAATCGTTCCTCAAGGTCCTACTATGCCAGACAGGTTGATTGAAGAACAGTAAAACTAAAAGCAACAAACCCAAGGTCCTAAGGCGAAGTCGTACTGCTGACTGTACAGAGTTGTGATGGCAGTAAGGTGTTTCCTTCAGACAACCAGCATGACAACGATGCTCCCTTCCCACAAGGAGGGGTGGGTTTAGGAATGGTTGACCCTAAAAATGCACACCTCACCTTATCCCACGGATATCCGTCTCCGGTGGTAAGGTCTCAACAAATACGGAGCTAACATGAAAATTACTCACAAAAAGGTTGTATGTGACTGATCTCAAGCATTTGTCCCTTGGTCACTAAGACCACCTTTAATCCAATTTCTTTTTCCTCCTTTGGGAAAAAGACCCAATTAATTATGATTGAATTTACTACTTACGTTGATGATTTTGTTGCTTTACTAATGGTTGAATCAATCGATTGTTGAATTGCTTCATTCATTTGTTCTTCAGACTTATTTATTGTTTCAATTAAACTTTTTGTTGAATTAATTTTCATTTCATTTAATATTAAATTCACTGAGGTTATATGACGTTCAATACGTGTTTGATGGAAAACTAATTCAGTTAATCTTACATTTGCTACATCCTATAAAGAAGAAAAAAAGATAAAATATTCAATATAAGAAAAGATTATATCATGAATGAATTGATATTGGACACCATCATTTAAAACTTGGAAGCATTGGAGTGAGGTAGTTAAACGCGTCGACAGTCTCACTTATCTTGGAAGTTCGATCAGCCCTAATGGATTGATGTCTGACGAAATCTCAGCACGGATTCGAAAAGCTTGTTTGGCTTTTGCCAACTTACGTCATCTATGAAGAAGGCGAGATATCCGTCTATCAATTAATGGACGAGTATACTGAGCTACAGTTTGCTCTGTTCTAATTTACGGCTAAGAAACGTGGCCATTAAGAGTAGAAGACATTCATAAGCCACTAGTATTTGACCACAAATGTCTTAGAAATATTGCTCGCATCTGCTGGGATCACCGGGTAAATAATAGTGAGGTTAGAAACAGGGTATTAGGGAATGATGATGGTAAATCAGTTGATGAGGTTGTGAATCTTCATCGACTGAGATGGTTGGGCCACGTGTTTCGTATGTCTGAACACCGATTACCACAACGCGCAATGCTGACTAGTGTTGCAGATGGTTGGAAGAAAGTTAGGGGTAGCCAAACCAAAACGTGGAATTAGTGCTTGAAGTCACTAACTTCTAGTCTGAGCCGTGTTGGCAGATGCACACTACTTGGTGGGGGCCCGCGCGACTATTGTGACCAATGGTTGGAGACTCTTGGTGACATGGCTCAGAATCGATCATAATGGTGTAGGTGTATACACTCTCTGTCTTCCCTTTAACTTTCTTTTTACAAATTATTTCTTTCTCCCTGTACTATATCCTTATATGCAATCTTTCATTTATATATTACCACCACTGAATTAACTACTTCTATGAATCCGGTGTTCATCTTGTTGTACTAATGAGTGAGGTATTGCAACGTGTACCGATGCATATATGTGCCTGCTCGTACGTTGTAGCTGACTGACTGACTGGACGGTCGTTTCGTCCTAGTGTGGGACTCCTCAGTAATGCGCATCCATGATCCCTCACGTGGTTTTCAATGGTGGTCTAATATCGTTCCGTTTATTATTTCAAATAAAACTCGACAAACTTTACTACCTTATACTGATAAAAGTTGATAGGTCGATATCACCATTGAAAACAATTAATTCAATTGATACGTTTGAATAGTGCAATATAAGAAGATAAAGTTTATCAGAACAATGTGATGTTAGATTAACGGAATACATTTCAAACAATTGGTCATACACATACATGTTAACATCATTTATACAAGAAAGGTCAACTAGACAAATGAAAGGTGAAAGAAAACAAAGATGATAAAGAATATATTTGTGAAACTCACCAAGGTAAGTTGATGGTGAGAACAAACTGTTTTTTGAACATATTATAGTGGATGGTACTATGCCAAGCCTACATAGGTTATTGTAACCTATGGACAGACCAATCTATTCACTCTTCTCAAGCCATATTTTTACCCTGTTACTTATTTGCCAATTAACCCTGACTGCTTTTATGTGATCGTATTTGTGTTAATTACTTACCCTTTTCATCGGGTATTTGTAACTTATACTTATTTGAATATAAATATTGAGGCACACTTGATTAAATAGAGTTGGCTCAATCGTCTTCTCCACTACGCGTCATTTCGTTTCGTTTCTCTCTCTCCTCTTCGCATTATTCGCTTCGTTTCCCTGATTATCCGTTCAGATCAACGAGTGTACGTAAAATACGTAATCAAACTTCATTCTCGTATTTCACTTATTTTGTTCCATTATTCTCTAACACAAATTAAGTCGATAAATTATATATACGAGGGTTGGTGACATGTATATTTAGACAACAATCATCATACGATCTAATTGGGGTCAGATATCGGGCCACTACAATATAGAAAAGGTTTTCAATTTTCATAGGGTCAAGGCTACAATAAACCTTAGTATATACGCCATTAAAACATTTTTTTTGTACAAAACCACAACAGTTGAGATAAGATCAATCTTATAACCTGTTTCAACGATGTGTTTAGCAATAGAGGATGATGTATCTATATTTTCTACTCTTATTAAGTCATTTGATTTTATGTATATTTATAACCAATGGTCAGTATCTTATTGGCCATGATATTAAGTCACAAGTATTATAAATAGAGAACTTAACTTCACCCGATTGTACAAGTTAGTGGCTATCTAGACTTAGTAACTAAGTATATAATGTGATGGCATTTGAAGCGAACTGTACTGGGTTCGAGTTTTGAGATGAAGATACATTTAGCTGATGAGTCACAAACAGAACAAAACGTGCGTTTTAGGTTCCACTGCTAGCCACCATCCATTTCGGTACACGTTCGCATAGTCCTGACGATCTTTATCTTCTTATAACACTATCTTAATCTCACTATTGTGTATAGCTGAGTATCAAAAACTAAATTGGAGTTCTATTTTAGTCAGTCAGTAAGTCATTTGTGTTAAAATAAGACGAATATTGTAAAAGCTAAAACTTTCGGAACATGTTTTAGAATTAGTATCACTATTATTATTATTATTATTATTATTACTACTACTACTACCTATTTTTGTTGATAACTTAGATGAACAGATCACCAGAAGCTCTCAGTCGACTAATAGTATTTGAGTAAAAAGCCTTCATCTTCGTATTATCTATTCCATTACTTACAGTCTCTTTCTATATGTATATGGTTGTAAGCGATCATGAGGATATATTAAGCCTACGTTTTGTGGTGATCAGCACTCAGTACTAAGTGTTATTTACAGGGTTTTAAAAAGTGAGATTTTCTAAAAGATTCAGTCTCTGGTCACTACTCAATACACGAGTAACCTGATTGTGACATTTTCATTTGTAACACCATTTTTAATTCATGTGTAACTTATGCATCAAATAGAATCACATCAAATCATGGGGGTAGTAGGACTTTGATGATCTTTCTAATTGTATGAGGATTAATAGTAATATCTAGTTGCCTAAACTAGAATACGTATGACAGGATTCGAACACGAAACTTATTGGTTAGAAGCCGAGACTTTACACAGCTTGATCAGAGAGCTAATTATCTGCATTATATACAATCATAGAGTGATGTGTGCTACTGATGTCGGCAGATATAAGGAGTATATATCATCATTTGAAAGTGAAATGCCTGGAGGCAGAAGATTAAGAAGATTAAAGAAAAGAGACGACCCAGAACAGAGAATGATTAATGTAGAAACGAAAGAACAATGAAGTCCAAGACGATTGATTGACATTTTACAAATGAATTATTTACTATATGGTTCTAAGAAATTCGGTAATTTTGTATTCAAAAACGTTTGATTGTCCACACTTGTGTACACCATTACAACAGTACCTATTTCATTGGGAGATAAATATTGTCAGCTATACAGTTGGTAGTAGTGTGATGTGTGCTACTGATGTCGACAGATATAAGTAGTATATATCACCAGTTGAATGTGAAATGCCTAGTGATAGAACGTTAAGAAGATTGAAGAAAAGCGAACGAGAACAGAGAATGATTAGTGTGGAAAGGAAAAAACAACGAAGTCTGAGACGATTGACTGACATTTTGCAAATAAAGTATTAACTATATATGGTCCTCAGATTTTACTAAGATACTCATTAATTTCGTATTCGAACACATTCGATTGTCTCAACTTGTATTCTCGTTCACTACAATAGTTTATAGTGTAATAACACACCAAAATTGATACCTTAATCACGCCAGTTTACAAAAAAACAATACTACTCACAAACATTCGTAGAGTAGTCAATAAAGACGAAGTGGATAGAACACACATCGCTGAAATAATCAAAATGAACCACAAAGCAAGCCCTAACTTGGAATCATCATAGTGACTGGAAATGAAGCAGACTAAAGAACACAGTGCTCCAGAAATTGAGGCAGATGATTTTTATTATCCACCCGGCAATTTTTTTAAATTCCCCCCCACCCCACTGAAAAATTTTTTCCACCCCCAAATTACAATATTTTTCATCTCTTTTTTCGTCCAATGAAATGGCTAGTTTAAAAATTCGTTTTAATTGGTTAGTTATGTCTTGAAAATTGTTATAAAATATCAGTACTTGTCGACGAAGTACATTTTAGTCGTCATTATGGAGGAGAGTAACTTGTCAAGTACAAGAGCTGGTGTTTCTGACGTCACGGAAACGGAGGAAGTGTTTTTGACAACATTGTTTTACGTTGCGTTCCCATCAGTTGAAGCGTTAAAGGCCGCTATAGCAACTTTCGAAAGATCGACTTACAATCATTATGTAGTGAGAGATTCGCATACGGGCAGAGATCAGAATTCGTATATTAAATTTATGTGTTGGAGAAATGGGCGTATAAGGTCTAGCGGTTCGTCACAGAGGATTAGACGGAGGAGGTAATTTGGTCAATGTAATTATAATTTTTTTCACGAAGGGCTTCCATGAACACGCAATGTCCGGCATTCATGTTTTGTAAGATTATAGACGGGTACTGGACTGTTGTGCGTGGGAATGTGCATCACAATCACGAGTGCCATTCCCTGAGGTACCAAAATAATTCATGGATGCGCAGGTTAACGGATGCTGAGTTTGAAACTGTGCGGCCACTGCTCATATGTGGTACGGCTTCCTTCCACATTAAGAATTTCGCTTACCATTCTTATGGTAAACGTCTTAATGATCAAGATGTGTGTAATCTGCGGTACAAAGTGTTCTCACAGGCGAACCTTCCTGGTAAGCAATTTGCGAATTTATAATGTACACTGTGGGTGATTACGGGAAATTGAAAGCTCACATAATATCCTTGGGTGGGCTTTGCGATATCAAAAGATATGGACAGTACTTTAAAAAAAACTGTAAAGGGGAACTCAGGACAGAGTAGGTTGCAGAATCCTAGTCGGTGGCCTATGCTATTCAAAGGGTATCATACATAAGTAAGTAAATCAGTAAGGATATTGATCGTGCTATTAATGTATAGAAAAACACATTTATTAGTTAATTTTCTTTTAAAACTTGACTTACTTCTTTCACCCGACGAATACGTGGTTCATGCAGTTTGAGTTGCAATTGATATTCATCGTCTATTTCAGTTTTTCTAACTATAACTTCCTCTTTTACGGCTAATATGGTTGTATTCTTCCATTGTTCCAAATATTCTAATATTTTCTATTACAAAAAAAAACAAACAAAAATAATGGTCACTAGATTCGAGAGAAAATTTCCCGAGTTCTAGTGAGAAGACATGAATAGTGGAATTCGACCATGCCTGGTGTTAAGCAATTACCTATCAAAAAACAATCGAAGATAGTCGCTGAATTTCGTGGGCTGATTGAAGTTAAACACTAGCACTAGCTGGTTTACTGGTCTGAGCGTCAATCGTTTGTGAATAGAACAGAAGGTCCCGGGTTAGACTACCACGTGCAGCGTCATGGATGTGCGATGCTGACAAAACCCATACTACGACAAAATGACCATTCAGTGCTGTCAGGTTCTCAATGGTGTTCTAACAATGATCGGTTCATGATTTCAAGAAACAAACAAGTATAATATTTTTGCATTCCACGACTATAGAATGATGGGTGTATAATACTACGACTCGATACACTAAGCACAGGCTGGATCAAGTTATACACATACAGGATTTATGATCAAAAATTAGCAACCACATAATAGTTTACTTAACACAATTACTACTAGTTCATATAACGAATAGAATTCCGCTACGTTTAGCCATTCATATATCCATCAAACAAAAGACTTTCTTAATAAACCAGAAACCAACCAATGGTTGAATATGTCAGTTAACATTCTAAGGGATATATATATAAACGTGCATATATTTCTCAGTTTGGTTTACCCAGGAAAGCTCCCTTCTCATTCAAGAAAGCGGTTTCGCTTGTTTTTAGGAAGCTTATATATCAATATCAGAATCAGAAACCACACAACACAAGTTCGCAATGAAATTGGAATACGAATCACTAGTTGAAAAGAATTCACGGCATTATATTATCACAATATTTAGTTAACTGAGTGTTTGTCTACGCTTGTTAGTCAATCACTTCTTATCTTTACTGATGCATATCAATATCATTGGGTAATTAGTAAAATAGACTATATGTATATGTACACATATTGTAACGGGAAAACTAGGGATTTGAGTTCACGATCTTAAATCAGACATAGGGCTTGATGCAAATTGATTTGAAGTTGTATTCCAACACAGTGACCTAAAAGTGTTATACATGCCACTGGTTCTGTAGGTTATGCTTGTGACTATTATTGAAGAGTTCTATAAAATAAGACAAAATAGCTGTACACTTTGTTAGATCAGACTAAATACATGGGACAGATGGAACTTTCAAAAGTATTCTACGTAGAAATTGATCGCTCCTTAAATAATCATCCATTTATCACGTCATTTTATATTCCTTATGGCTTTGCTGCACACAACTTATGATTTCTTATATTTAGTGTGTTATGGTCTGTTCACTATGTAAATCCAATAATACAAGGTAGATCTACTTGTTGACTTTGAATTGTGATTGATCACAGAGGGCAAATATGATGTATGAACAAATAGGTATTGAAGCCTTCGGCTATTTTTCACGATCACTGTGCTATTGGTCAGATTGGTATAAGGTGAATCACCAATAACCGGACACTATAATCAGATGCCTTTGATTCAAATGAACATATCGAGATTGCTTGACAAATGAATAAATTAGAATGGGGATTTGTGAAGATTGTAGTGATTTTAATAGTTGACGTCATGAGTCGATGTAAGCTAGACCATCATTGAACCCCTGGAAGTATTGGACGACCATTTCATCCAAGCATTGAACTCGTCAGCAGTGTGCGTCTACGATCCCGCATGCGAACGCTTAACCTATAGACTGAGCCTGCATCAGGTAGTGTCACTGTCTAAATTCAATTGATCCATGATCTTGCACAACAATTCACCCATTGTCTGAGGTAGACACTTGTCTTTACCCGACAATTAAACTCACTACAATTCCCACAAATCCCCATTTTAATAATAATTATCATGTGCTCAATAGTGACTGGCTTCAAGATGGATTTTGTGGAGTTCTAGTGAGAAGCCATGACCAGTAGAGTCCAATCCGTGTTGGCTAGAGACAGTTATCTACCTCAGACAATTGAAGATAGTCGTGCAATATCGTGAACTGATTGAATTTAGACAATAACACCATAGGATCCCGGCTTAATGGTCTATAGGTTAAGCGTTCATGTGTGAGACCGGTATATCCTGGATTTGAGTCCAGTATGCGGGATCGTAGATACGCACTGATGAATAGTCCCATATTAGGACAAAACGTTCATTTAGTATTTCCAGATTTTTATTAATGGTCTAATTTACAAATTTTTATTACTGACAAAGCTACACACCCGTATTCACCCGATTACGGTCCATCCTGAATTTTAACCCACCAAGATACAATAGTGAACCTCCACCCCGAGATCAGATACATTCCTGATCACTCTGAACCCCAGCGCCAAGTGAGTTATAACTTGTCAATTCAACAAACGATTAAATCAGAAAGGGTTTTGTGGAGATTATAGTAATTTCAACAGTTGAAATCATGAGTCAATTGAAACTAGACCACAATGGAAAACCTGGAAACACTAGATGGCTGTTTCATCCTAATATGGGACTCCTCAGAAGTACGCATCCACGGTCTCGCCTCGAACTCAGAATGCCGGCTCAGTAGTCTAATGGTTAAGTGCTCGCGCGCAAAACTGATATGTCCTGGGTTCGAATCACGCGAGGCGGTGGGATCGTGGATGCGTACTGCTGAAGTGTTCCATATTAAGACAAAACGATCTTCCACTACTTCCAGATTTTCCATGGTGGTCTAGCTTCAAGTGACTCATGATTTCAACTATTGAAATGATGAAATCACATTTGTTTTTATACAAAAAACTAATAGAAATTCACTTACTATACGAACGATTGCTTTAACATGTTTGATTAGATTTAAACATTTTTCAATTTTAATTGGTTGAATATAATCGGTTACATAATTATTTACAGTAATTGGTTTATTTTCATTATTATTATTATTATTATTATTATTATTATTATTATTATTATTATTATTATTGATAATCAATAATTGAGTATCATTAGTTTTTGTATTCTCTGATTTTATTGATTTTTTAATGAATTTAATTGATAAATTATTATTGATTTCATTCAAATGATTCATTTCATTACCAGTGATAATACCGGTTAATTGAATATTTTTAATTAAATAATCAATAAATATATTCAATGTAGAATTAGATTTCATTTCTGATTGTAAAAATTTAATTAAATCATCTATAGCAATATCATGATGTTTTATATAATAGAAAATATGATTGAATTTAGAAACATTTCCATCGAATTGTTGTTGTTGTTGTTGTGGCGGTGATGGTGATGGTGGTGGTGGTGGTGGTTGTGGTGATGGTTGTTGCTGTGGTGGTAATGGTGATGGTGGTTGTGGTTGTTGTGGTTGTTGTATACAAATATATTTTTCAAATCCAAGTGTAACTATGTTATTGATTGGTGTTTGACGATTTATTTTTTTCTAGAATTAATAAGAAACAAAAAAAAGAGAAACAAAGGGATTATAAGTTAATTTACCAAAATAGTCTAATATCATTTTGTGGTGTGTGTGTGTGTGTGTTATCGATGTCGATAGATATAAGTAGTATTAGTAGCCAAATAGAAAGTACCTTTTATAAAATCTTTCATCCTGTTCAGCAACACTGTTGCAACATTTTCCTGATACTGACAGTAGTGTGATGCCTGTGTAGTTCTCACATTGCTCAGATCTCCTTTCTTTGGTATCTTGATGAAGTGTCCTTCTTTCCAGTATGTTTATGGCCCTTGTTCTTCCTCCTAAATCTTCTTGAATAGAGTATGAAACATGTTTGCAGTCGCTTCTATGTCTGCCTTCAGTGCTTCAGTTGGTATATTGTCAAGAACTGTTGCTTTCCCATTCTTGATTTGTCTGATGGCCATCCTGATTTCTTCTATCATTGGTTGACTAAAATCTATAAGAAGGTCTGTGTGTGCTGCTTCGATGTCCAGTGGGTTTTTAAAGAGTTCCTCAAAGTGTTTTGCTTGTCTGTTCCCCAGTTTTTAAGTCCCAGTAATTGTCTTGCCTTCCATATCCTTGGGTCTATAAAAATGTCATGATCATTATTTTCATTATAGTAGATTGTCGGTGTTGCATTTTCATATTTAACCTCATGATATTTATATCAGTTCTTAGCCAATCGGAAAGCATCTTTCATAAAAATGTGTAGTTTATTAAAACGAAAATAATAATATTACCAAGTGTTAACAAATTGTACATAGTTGATGAATCTACAATAGTCTTCTTCAAAAGTAAAGAAAGGTATCAACTCATTCTAATGAATATAAATTGTCCATATTCTGGAATTCTTAAAAAAGGGTTCAATGAGATCTCTAAATATCCATTAATGAATTAAACATTAAGAGTTTTTTTTCAGTTAACATTTTAATCACCAATTGATATCAGATACAATATGCAAAGATCATTTTACTACTTATTATAAAGATATGCTTTGTTGGATTTTACGCGGAAATCGAACAGTCACATTCCCAATCCTGATTATGATACTGTAGTGTATACTATTGATGTCAATAGATATAAGTAGTATGTATTAACAATTCAAAGTGAAATGCCTAACGGTAGAAGGTTATAAACATTGAGGAAAAGAGGACCAGAACAGAGAATGATTAGTGTTAAAACGAAAGAACAATCAAGTCTGAAACAATCGATGGATATTTTGCATATGAACTATTTATTATGTGGTTCTTAGATTTTTGTATTCAGATACATTCGATTGTCCCCTGCCTATGTACTCATTCTCTAAAGTATCAGGGACAGTACACAAAAAAACCTTAGAAACAAAGCATATAATTCTGGGAACAGATATGAATTCCAGAAATAGAAAAATTTTTTAAAAGATATAACTCTATTCGAAATCTAGAAGTAGAAGTCAACTTCATTTCTTCAATTAAAAGTCATATTACCTGATTTCAAAGTCAGTCTAGACTAGGTACTATCCATCTATCAATATAGCTCATATAAATGGAATGATATCATATCTTGATCTATTCGTCTTTATGAATATATTATTATCAATGTATATGTAGTGAACGAGAACTCAGATGGGGAAGATCAATCCAAACACTACAGAGTAGTTTTATAAAATATGAAAATCATACATTAATTACATATCTTCCTATAGTTTATCCTTTCTATTGTTGTTACAATTGCTCTCTGCTTCCTCTTCTATTCTTTTCAATTCAATCTTCTACTGACAAGCATTCACATTCCGATCACCGTTACATACTACTTATATTTACTAGTATAGGGGATGTGAGATGCGCACTGCTGAGGAGTCCCACAAACGGCCGTCTAGTGCTTCCAGGTTTCCAAAGGTGGTTTAACATCAATCAGTTAATGATCTCAATCAAAAACTTAATCATCTCCACAACCCCTATACTAGTAATTAACATGTGCTCACTAGTGACTAGCTTCGTGAGGGAATTCTCGGAGTTCTGGTGAGAAGCAGTGACCAGTGGAGCTAATCCATGTCGGGTAGAGACAGGTATCTACCTCAGTACAATGGAAGATGGTCGCGCAGTTTCGTGGATTGGTTGATGTTAGACACCATCACCATTGGATGCCGGCTCAGTGGCCCACTAGGTTAAGCGTTCGCGCGCGAGACCGAAGGCCCTGGGTTCGAATCCCGCAAGCAGGATCGTGGATGTGCACTACTTATATTCGTTAGCATAAGTAGTATGCATTACATAAATATAAGTCATTTAGTATTATCAATAAAGAAAACAAAAACAATGACTAATAATACTTACTTCCAGATGTAAAGATTGTTGTTTTGTACAATGGGTTACACCGAAAAATCGGCAAATAGCAGTTTCACATAAATCGATAACAGTGGTTATTTGTTTTACATATGTATCTATAAATTGTAATTGTTTATCATATAGTGATTTGTAACTTTATAGATTTAGGAAAAAGAAAAGAAAAGAAAGAAAGAAGGGAAGAAATATTCAATTAATAAAGGGTTCTGTGTAATCATCTATACATGATGCATACTTTCATTATCTTAAATTAACTGTAATTATGTGTTCTGTTTAATTTGGTTGGTGTTATTGAAGAGTGCTGGTGGATGGCCTATGCTCCTCTACAAGGGGTAACAGGAGTAAGTAAGTAAGTAAGCCATTATATGTTCTACCGTTCTTAAATTATCATGAACGTATTGGCTACTTACAGTTCGGTTGTATACATGTTATGATCTCTAATTTGTGGTTTATTATAATCAAGAATCCAGTAAATATAACCCTATGAAATTTTGAGTCAAAAGCAGTAGAAATAAAATGAGACTAATAAATAGTTAAGTTTTTTTTATTATTGTCACCGTCTTTTGATTGGATCTCTGGATAAGAGTACCCCTTGGATTAAAAGATGTTAAAATCCCGGTCATTATTTACAGTGTAATTAGTCAAGTGTAGATTGTTGGTTTGATTTGGACAAAGTAAACGTGTCACAGTGGACTGTATAATGAATTGATTCAATAATGCAGGTAAATCATTTAAAAATCATCATTCGCAGTTTGTATAGCTCAGTGGTAACGTTGAAGATTGAGAAGCTGGATGATGAAAGTTTATATCCGACAGGAAACATCAGTTGCCTCAAAATTACAAGTTCTAAGTAGCGTGAAATCTAGATCAAGTAAAGTTTCCTGTTAACTACATTCAACCACCTTACGTTCATAAATGTATAAACATAACCTAATTTCTAGATTTGTCATTAATTGAGAAGTAATAGGTTAATAGTGTAAAATATCTACTCTTAACTATGTTAAAATGGAATGAGCAATTCAAAATGTGAAATAGTGAAATGTATCTTATCTAACGATTCAGTTTATATCGTTTTAATTTGTATCAATGAAGTAATTTGTTTTGGTGTTTTCATATTGGCTGAACTATGTCGTTTTATTAGGCGTTCTAGAAAGGATTCAGGTGGGATTTCATTTGGGTACATTGAACATTTATTTGGTGATATTTAAACGAATCACTATTCTAATTCATTTTTAGGAGTTTAAATCTGTCCGTTGTTAATTATAAGAACTGAAACAAAGATATCTGTGTATCCTGAAGAATTGTCTCGATTTAGTCATCTTGACTAGTTTTGGGGATAGTTGGAAGAAAGTTAGGGGTGGCCAAACTGATCAAAACGTGGAATCAGCCCTTGAAGTCACTAACTTCTGGTCTGAGCCATGTTAGTGGATTCAGACTACTTGGTTGGAGTTCACGCGACTATTTTAATCAATGGTAGGAAACTAAAGGTGATATGACTCAGAATCGATCACAATGGCGTCAGTGTATGCACTCTCTGTCTTCCCTTAAATCGTGAGACTAAAATTACTTTGTGTCTTACTTTTTACGAATTGATTCTTTCTTACTGTATCGTATCCTTGTACAAAATGTCTTTTTTTTACTACCACTGAAGTAAATACTTCAATGAATTCGCTGTTCATCTTGTGCTAATGAGGTGTGGCAACTTGGACTGATGCATATATATGCCTGTCCCTACGTTGTAGCTGACTGACTGAGTCATTTTGTCATAAGTTGTTTAAGAATAGATGAATTGTGGCTGGGAGTAGAATTCAGGACCAGCATTTCGCCCGGTACGGCCGAAGGTGGGGAGAAGCAGCTCTCATATGGCCACGTGCATATAACCACTACAAGGGCAGTACTTCCCACTGCATTCTCGCACTACGAGTTTTGTTTACGATATTAGGAGGAAGAAGAGCGAATATCAGGAGCTTCTATCCGGCTGGTAGATACGGAAGACCACTTAAGGGAGTTGGAAAACCCTCATTCCAAGCAATAGTTCACATTGGCTCCAGGATCCTGAGGGAACAAATGACGTACGAACCTATTGTTGAAAACTGGCTAACATGGGACTATATCTCCGGACAATGCTCCACTACCTTGTAGATCACACCTTTAGGTCAAAGGCTCCGGTTGTGGCCCCCTAAGAAAACCACCTGCTCCGGTCTGTGCCCCCGGGCACTATCACAGCCCTCATACAAATCGAATGATTTATGTGGCGCATATGTATTTGGCGCCTTCTTCTATCAATGTTTATGTGTTTAAATAAACAAATAAATACCTGCAACCCAGTGTTGATGTATACACCATGAAAGAAATGAAATAAAAACTCTATACAAGTCAGTGCTTATGTGAAGTTAATAGCTCAGAGAGTAATGCTTTTTCGACTGGAAAGAAAGACACTTAATTTGAATTCAAACGGGTAGATCAATAATATAATATAGGATCTTCCAACTGATGAATCCACTGTTATCCACCTTCAGAAATTTACTCAATAATCATTATTCTATTTGAGATTTATTGAAAATCAAGTATCAAAAAAATTTAATACTTGAATTCGTGGGTCAATTAAAGTTAGACCACCATTGAAAACCTGAAAGCACTGGACGGCCATTTCGTCCTAGTATGAGACTCAGCAATGCGCATCCACGATACCGCCTCATGAAATTCGAATCCAGGACCTATAGGTCTCTCAAGCGAACGTTCAACCTCTAGACCACTGAGCCGTTCGGTATCCAACAGTGTCGATGTCTAACTTCATCCAATCCATTAAATTGCACCGTCGCCGTGGATACACATTGCTGAGAGCAGTCTCATACAAGATTTTTCATAGTGATCTAGCTTTAATCGACTCATGAATTCAACTACTAAAATTAATATAATATTCACAAAATCCCTCTCTGATTGTAATCATCATATACTCAGTAGCGACGGTCTCCAAGAGGTATTTCCTGAAGTTCTAGTGAGAAGCAGTGATCAGTGAAGTTCATTTGGGTCTGTTGTGAGGTAGTAACTCACTGAACCCAATGATGGATGTGTCGCTCAATTTCGTGGATTAGTTCAAGTTAGACATTAACACCGTTGGATACCAGCTAGCTCAATAGTATAGTGGTTAAGCGTTCGCACGTGAGAATTATAGTTTCTGGGTTCGAATCTCGCAGGCCATGATTGTGGATGAGCACTGCTAAGTAGTCCCATATTAGAACGAAACGCTCGTCCAATGCTTCCAGCTATCCCATGATGTTCGACCTTCAATTGACTCATATATTCAACTCTTAAAACATTACTATAATATCCACACACCTACACACACACACACACACAAACACAAACATAAAAGCAACATACTCACTTTACACTAATTTCATTGAATAAATTAATTACTTCTTGTAATTTTTCATTAATTATTTGTTCTGTTGAACTTTGTCTTAATAAATCAATTAATGAATTAATCAATTCATCTTTTTTTAAAATTTCATCATATACTACTTGTTTTATATTAAGTAAATTAAAATTTAATTCATTTTTTAAATGAACAATAGGTAGATGAGCATAGAATTGCCATAATTGAATTAGGATTTGACTAAATTTTAATAATAATGGAATACATTCATTTAACCATATAGATAAACACCATGAGAAACAATGCTAATAAGGAGAAAAGGATAAAAGAAGTTCTATTAGTGAGTATATTGAATATTATTATAAAAAAAACTTCATTGTAAATATATAACTGATAGGTCCAAGGTTCGAATCGCACGAGGCGGAGTCGTGTACGCGCGCTGCTGAGGAGTACCATACTAGGACGAAACGGTCATCCAGTGCTTCCAGGTTTTCCATGGTGGGCTAGCTTCAATTGACTCATGAATCCAACTATTCAAATATATATAACCGCTATGTTGGTTATAATAAGCATCGAGTGTCTATAGATGAGTCTGTTCCAACTCTTATAGTTAATAAGTATTATTATTATTATTACCATTAGGCAAAGATGAATAGTGGATAGCAATAGAATCCAGTTTGATGCGCATTTCGTCCTATTCGAGACTCGTCAGCTGGATATACCTGCATCTCAGAGTTGATGTTCACTCCGGGATTCGAACCCAGTACCGTACGCTTCAAACACTATCGTGTTATTCATTTAGCTATTGAGTTCCAAATAGAACGAAACGCGCGTCCTCGATTCCACTGCTAGCCACTATTCATCCTTGCTTATAATGATTACATTTCTTATAAGTAAATGGTAAATGTTAGGGTCTACTTATGAACTGTTATTATACATATATATTCTTATTGTATAACTATTAAATAACTAGACTACACATGTATTCGTATTCCTTTATTTGACCTATTGACTGCTATTGTACGATTTACTATTCTTAAGTTATTTTCAATCGATTAGTTACAGTCTCTCACAATCATAACCACTTTTTAACCTTGGTCTTGTACAAATGTTATTTCCTACTTTATGGTATGATGCGGTCTGGTTTGGTTTGTATATAAACCAAGTATGCTTGAAATAAATGATTTATGTGGTGGAAGCTATCGCATTATTCACCTAGCTATGCCAGAGTGAACATCAATTCTGAGATGCGGGTACATCCAGTTGACGAGTTCCAAATAGGAAGAAACGCACGTCAAAACTGGATTCCACTGCTATCCACTATCCATCTTTGCTTAGAATGCTTGTGAATTAAGGCAATATCGAGGCAATACGCACAGTATTCATATATGCCAATAAGAGACTGATCAATTGCAGTCCTAAACATCGATGGGAAGATTCATGTAAACAATATCATGTGAATTTATTATTATTATTGTTATTATTATCATTATTATTAGTGGCTATATTCAGTATTATACTTTTGGTAGAATATAGAATTCTCAGCGCAAAGTATTTCAACAAGTTTCCATTTCTTATTTCTTGATCAATCCTGAATGATCGTCAGTTAGATGTTGGCAGTTCATGAATTGACATTTGAATAATGTTCATTCTTTTCCAATATGTATTGGCAGTTATCACGATATCTCTGATTGGGCCCTTTTGTAACTTGTATACTGAAAGATCTTAAACTTTACACAAACGTACCTGAATAAGCTATGAGATTAATAAACATAATAATGTGTTAAAACAAACAATAAAACAAATAACTTGTTAACATATTCAGATGGTAGGAACAAGTAGCCCAGATATTCAAGCACGCTGCTGCAATCGGACTTGTCAATACATGAGCTATCTCTTATACAGAATCTGTTATACATTCAATGAATCTTTCGTAGATAGATGTATAGTGAACTACAAACTTTCATTTAAGCTGTAGGAGTTTATCATGTTTACAAAAAAGAGATAATTATTTTGTAAGTAACTGTATACTCTATAGCTAATTACAAGACATTACTATCATGTGAGCTTTTTGTGTGCTGATCCATTCGTAGCTACCAGGGTATACTTTTAAAAACAGATCAGTGTATTTCTATTGCTCATACAGCTTTCATCACCTTGATTACAATTAAACATGAACAATATAAGATATCATAAGATAATTAGTTTCCCTTTAACTGAAACTACAATACAATACTTGTCGACTGTTCTCCAGTTGTTGTTGTTTTTTACCTGAAGCCAGTTTATGACTAAGATCTTCAATACACTTGACATATTTGATTTGTTTATACTTCCATAGATTAACATATGCATATCGGTGTAATTTTACTTCATTAGTACATATGAGGAATTGGGTTATACAAATAATAACTAGTACACTTGTGTTAGGTCCCGATAAGCATAATGAATAGTAACTTTGGGATCCATTTATGAACCAATACTATATGCATACATTTATCGTATAATTATTAAGTTACTAAAGTATTCATATTCCTCTTATTATGAGCCTTATTTTGACCTATGAACCATTATTATACTTTTTACTATTTTTGAATTATGCTCTGTCTATCAGTCACTGCCTCTCACATTCACAGCCACATTTGGCCAAATTTTGTACAAATATTATTTCCTATTTTATGGTACAATGTGGTCTGTCTGGTTGGTATATAAACCGAGTATGTTTGAAATATATAACTCATGTCACAAAGGCTGAAATTGGTGTTCTGGACTCAACTGGCTGGGCTAGGTGGAAAGCAGGATCAATCAGAACTCTAGGCCGCTCGCACGTGTTTCCGCATCCTTGGTCCGATCGATAAGTCACTGCTCCCTATTTGGCGGTATCATTACTTATCCATTAACAGGGCACTCAGGTCACAAGTTATAACAACTTGTACAAGTACAGATGACATAGGCTATATTGATACAACACACAGATTGAGATTGAAAGTCAAGCACACCACACACTAAGTCAATTTTGTACAGTTCATTAATGTATATTCGTTCATATATAAAATTGGATTCTAACGTCAATTCATTGACGATAAACCAACATCATAAAGGTATTCAGGCATTTTACAATCTTACGATATTTTATTTATACTTAGGGTCCAAAGTATCAAATCTATCTAACTATACATCAACCACATTGGATGTGAGACCATTATCCACCTCAAGAAATGGAAGATATTTACGCAACATTATGAACTGATTGAAATCGGACATTAACATCATTGGGTCCTGGTTCAATGATCGAAAGATTGAGTGTTCACACGTGAGACTAAAGGTATTAGGTTCAATTCTAGGATGTGAAGTCATTGATATGCAATCCTGAAAAGTTCTATACAAGGGAAAAACAGCTATCTAATATCTTCTGGTTTAGCTAAAATCTATTCATGATTTATTACTAAAAAACTGTAATCTCCACAAAATCATAGGCTGATAAAATGTATATATGTATAAGGAGATAATAAATTAATTTAATCATTGAATTCATGAATCAATTATAGCCGGAACACCATTGAAAACCTAAAAGTACTGAATAACCATTTCATCCTAGTATGGAACTCTTCAACAGTACTCATCTATCATCCCATCCACAGGATTTAAACCCAGGACCTATAGATTTCACACATGAACACTTAACATCTAGATCACTGAGTCAGTATCCAACATCTCCATTAAAACCTCCTACTGATAATAATTATCAGAAGGGGTTTTTGTGGAGACTTTAGAAACTTCACTGATTGAAATCATGAATCAATTGAAGCTAGATCACCATGAAAAATCTGGAAGCACTAGACGGCTGTTTCGTTGGTTAAGCGCCTGAAGCGAGGCTGATAGGTTCTGAGTTCGAATCTCGCGGGGTGCGGGATCGTGGATGCGCACTGCTGAGGAGTCCCATACTGGGACGAGACGGCCGTCCAGTGCTTCCAGGTTTTCCATTGTAGTCATTGAATTATATGATAAAGCATTACTTACATCAAGATAATTTAAATTATTTTCAAATTGACTTTGTAATTCACCTAAAATGGTGATACAATTTTCTTTAATTAAATTTTCAATTTCATCCATTGAGTTGATCAATTTACGATGTAACAATTGATTCTATTTATGAATAATAAAGAGAAATTTATAATAAAAGAAAACAAAATAACGATTGAAGGGAAATGAATGAGAACAGAGAAACAATGAAGTTATGACAAACACAATGAGGGGGGACGTTATTTCATCTGGATCAAACCATGGCAAACAGTAACATTTACTTTTGTTCCTAATCTATTCTACAGATCATAAGCTTTCGTTTGATATATGGTTCATTGTCATATTGTTTTCTGTTCCAAATCTATTGTAGTTTAGATGTAACATTTAGTACTCTATTTTCTTAACCTAATCAATATCCATTGGCCGGATACCATCAGTAACAAACTTCTATGGAAGTGGACAACCCAGCTTCCAGTTGAAGAGGAAATTAGGAAAAGATATTAGAAGTGGATAGGGCATACATTGACGAAATCATCAAACCACATCACGATACAAGCCCTAACTTGGAATCGTGAAGGAAAGCGGAAAAGAGGAAGGTCGAAGAACACACTACGTTGGGAGATGGAAGCAGATAAGAAAAGGATGAATAACAACTGGAAAGAGCTGGAAAGGATTGCCTAGGACAGGGTTGGATGGAGAGTGTTAGTGGGAACAGGCATAAATAAGTAAGTAAGTAATCCCCAGTTTTGCATATAATTGTATTTTTCTAATTGTTTGCGTGTTGTGGTCATGTTAATCATCTATACTACTCATGTATCTTTTTGCACTAATCTGAATCGGAACCGAATCGATGTGTGAATCGGGATTGAGAATAAATCGAGTAGTGTTCCAGTCGTTTCGTCTTTCTCTCTCGATCACGTGGATGTCAACCAATCAGGTGATGGAATAGTTTTTGTTCCTTCATTCAAGCCAGTTAGTCTCATTTCGAACTTACGCGTTTCTAGCCTCAAATTTATCCAGTCAGTCTATCGTATCAAGGCCTTGATCTAGGTTGAGACAAATTGTCTTCTGTATATTAGTGAGTAGACAGGTGAAGGATGTAATAAAAACGTCAATGAAATAATGATAGCTTCGAACTCTTCGACACAAAGCACACACACTTAAATCTAGATAGAATTCAAACTAGATATGCTCAGGTCTCGTTAATAGTGTACAACCTTTCATTCGATGAGTTGTAGTTCAATCGTTCAGCGATTGCAGGTTCGAATTATTAATTACAGTCTAGAATTCTCAGCACAAGTTCACAGCATCGCAATTAATCTTTGTTCAATGGTGTTTGAATTAGTTGCAGGCTGTAATAGTTGACTGTGTCAGTTGGTTCGATTGGATAGTTGGAATATGTATGTTGTATATACTGACTCTTGACTCATCTTCGAGCCCAAGGCAGGGAATAGAGAAAAGTCTCCATGTGGTGGACTAATCGGAGTACAGCCTGAATTGGTACAGGATTAACTGTACTGGTCAGAATGTATAATTGGTCAAGTCTGGGACACTAAGCAACAAAAGAAGTCGTAGACACTGGATAGAAAAACTTCTAACCAGAATTATGATTACTAAATTTAGCACGTGATATAGATTTAAGTTTTAAGCCATAGCAACTAACTGTCATTCGTTTTCATACGCAGGCATTTTTTAATCGTTTGCTGTTATAACACAAATTATCTCATACTATATATTTGTTGTATGAAATCCAATACAATTACTTCTCATTTCCCTAGAGCGAATACGAATGTTAAATATTTCTCAGTAAAGATAAATGCACAATGTCGTGGATTGAATGATGTACGATAATAACACCGTTAAATATCTGCTCAGTGGTCTGGATGTCAAGAATTCGCAAGCGAGACCGAAAATCCTGGATCTGATTCTGGCGTGCGGGGTCATTGATGCAGACCACTGAGGAGTCCCACACAGGGACGAAACGCACGTCTAATGCTTTCAGGTTTTTAATGTTAGTCTAACATCAATCGGTTCATGATATCATTGAAACAAATGCCAAAATACACAAAATAATTCCCTTCATGACAGGTTGTAAACTTCCTATAGGAGCGCTTCAATAATTAGGCAGTAATTACGCATTACTGGTCAGTTAAGATAAATCAGAACACAGCCACTCACTTGTGCAGTGAGCATTTGAATCAAACCGTACTACGTTCGAGTCCAAGAGTTAATACTAAGTCACTCTGGGGTGCAGTTACACTCAACTAAGGACGAGTCCTAAAAAAGACGAAACGAGTGTCCTTGATTCCACTACCAGCTACCATCTATCTCTACTTAAAATGCTTGTGATTTAATGACAATATTAAAGCAATCCGTATAGAACGCACATAAGCCAGAATAGACTGATCAATTGCTGTCCTAAACATCCGTATGCATATAAATAAATTCCTTAAGCCTCAAAGCATTCGACTTTCAATGGTTTAAATGAATAATTTTCCTGATTAGCGTTTTTTTCTAACAAGATTCTTTTTATGGGCATTTCACTTTTGATCAGTCTTCTATACTACTTATGTCAACATAAGTAGTATACACCACACTATCATACATCATAAGAAACCTAAAGTTGCATGTTAAGTAGATCAACAGAAAATCAATCGCAACCTAATGTTATCCTTTGAAAAATTTGAAATGTTCTGAAGTTTCTATAGGAAAACAAAAGCCTTGATAGCTTACTTTCATCTGTTGGATTTGATCGATACATTGTTGTGAATTATCTTCATAAGCTTTGTATATGGAATTCAAAGCGTTTTGATTCATTTCATCTATAGAATAAATAATAAAGGTAGTTTAGTTTAGTTCATACTTTTCATAAACTAAATATTCTGTGTCATTTAAAACATCTTCACTTACATCGTCCATTCTCATTCGATATCTTTTACTAACTTTCCTCACTTTTCTATCATTTGCAGCTCAACTCTCATTCAATATCAACAGTTAAGATCATGAGACCCCGCCTCGCGGACGCGCACTGCTGAGGAGTCCCACAATAGGACAAAACAGCCGTCCAGTGCTTCCAGGTTTTCCATGGTGGTCTAGCTTCAACTGACTCATGATTTCAACTGTTTAAATTACTACAATCTCCACAAAACCCCTTCTCATTCAATACTTCGATTGTATGGTGTATTGCCTCAATGCCTTGAATTCACACGTCTCTTTTCAACAGGTGTCGCCAATGATTGAATGATGTTTCCACTAACTACTAACATCAAGCATCTAAGTCTGATCAACCAATGTCGTCCATACCACACTTGCTAGACACAAGACCATCTATTTCAAAATATCATAGTTGACCACTTATTCAAACATAGTTAAATGTCACTTGATTTCACTTGGTTCAATCGTATCGAGACAAACTCATCGACACATATTTTATTAGTTTGTCACACAGTAGTTTTATGTATTACTTACGATGACATTATTTCCTTCAGTTTAAAGTTATTAGCCTTCAGGTCCAATTACAGGTTTGTACAGTTGAGGAATCCCAAAATTAAAATGAAACAGCTATTGAGTGGCTTCACTGGGGGGGGGGTCAAACCTAGGGCTGTCAGATCTTGAGAGCAGTACTTAATTTACAGACCATTTGGTTGACTTTCAATGATTTACATCTCTAATCCTAGTCAATTTGTGGTAATGCTCAACCATGTAAATATTTGTATGTTGGTTTTTAATAGTTATCTAACTAAATTCAGTTCTGTAAGGTGGTTTGAGGTAACCGACAAGAAACTCCGGACCCTTGTTTTGTGCTATTTCGGCATTCATCATTAAGGTATACCTATAATCTTGAGAGAATTAGCTCTCTCTAGCAAACTTGATCCTGTGTCACTCAGCTTCACAGCCTGAAACACTATCGCTGATCTATTTGGACCGTGACTGACCTCCTTTAGAAATAATTTTTCACAATTGACCAATCTCTATTTGGTGACCACTGTCATGTTTGTCAAGTCTAGTATCAAATTCACCAGAGATCATCAACACCTTTAAAATCACAATGACACTTTACTGACGAGTGGCAAATAGTATGAAATTTAGATCGAGCAGGATTTCTTGTCGATTATCTCCAATTACTACCTTACATCTTAACATACTGCATGATATGTTGAGTCACTTAAACTAATAACTATATTGTAATTTGATCGATAAAATTCAATGAGAACTAAGAAGGACTTGAAAGGTAACATACCCCATTCAGTAAATAACTGTTTAATTTTAATATCCCAATTTTCTAGAAATTCTTCCATATTATTTGATGGTACCAAATTTTCACTAGATAGAAAATTATTGAAAATATTTAATAATCTGTAAGATGATTAGCAATAACAAATAATTGTAATCAGAAAGAGGGTTTCATAGAGATTGTAGTAATTTAATAGTTGAATTCATGAGCCAATTGAAGCTACACCACCATGGAAAACCTGGAAGCACTGGACGGCCGTTTCGTCCTGTTGTGGGACCCCCAGCACTACGCATCCACGACCCCGCCTCGCGGGACTCGAACCCAGTGTTGTAACGTGTGAGACTGCAGGTTTTGATAAGCAGCGTATTTATCGATCGATTCTGTGACAGTGGACACGTAAAACACGTAAGTGGACGACCTAGTGCCCTGATTCGCCCTGCTTCGCTGTCTGTCCTAGCCAGTTGAGTCAAGAACAAAAGTCACAGCCTCTGAGTTATGAATCATTGTATTTCAGACATACTTTGTTCATATACCAATCAAGCATACCACATCGTACCATAAAATAGGAAACAACAGTTGTACAATATTTAACAAGTGAAATAAACATCGACCAATAAGAAATATACATTTAAGGTCCAAGGCCACCATAGACTTAACACGATAATTATTGGTATATTTTTCCGACTATCCTAACACCCAGGACCTATCAGTCTCGCGCCAGGCGCTCAACCAGCTAGACCACTGAGACGGCATTCAATGGTGTTAATATCTAACTTCAACTAATCCACGAAATTGAGCGACACATCCATCAGTGTCATCATCAGTGAGTCACTACCTCACAACTGACCCGGTTGAACTCCACTGGTCATTATTTCTCACTAAAACTCCAAGATATATATCTTGAAGCCAGTCACTAGTGAGCATATGTTAATTAGTATCAGAAGGGGTTTTGTGGAGATTGTAGTAATTTCAACAGTTGAAATCATGAGTCGATCGAAGCTAGACCACCATGGAAAATCTGGAAGCACTGGACGGCGATTTCGTCCTGTTGTAGGACTTCTCACCAGTGCGCATCCAAATTAAATTACTATAATATCTTAAAATCCTCTCTGATTATAATCATCATATGCTCACTAGTGACAGTCTCCAAGACGTATTTCCTGGAGTTCTAGTGACGTCACTGTATTTATCACAAAACCAGAATGTAGAAATATGTGCTTAAGTAAATATGAATGACACCTCTGTACTACCTGGTATTCTTCGTATGAATGAAGGTTTATAAATTGTATTATTAAAACTATTCACGTATTTGTTATATCCCAACGAGAATAATGAATGGTAACTGCTGCGATCCATTTCTAGACTAATACTATACATATATTCTTATTGTATAATTGTCAAGTAGCTAAACTATTCATATTCTTGTTCTTCTTATTATAAGCTTTATATCGACCTATACACTATGATTATACGATTTACCATTCGATAGTTATGCCTGGTCTATCAATTACAGTCTCCCACATTCACAGCCACTTTTGGCTAAATCTTGTACAAATGTGTATTATCTATTTTGTGGTACGATATAGTCTAATTGTTTCGTATATAAGCCACTTATGTTTGAAATACCTGATTCATATCGTAGAGGCTGAGATTGGTGTTCTAGACTGAACAATTAGGGCTAGGCGGGAATCGATCACAATGGCGTCGGTGTATACACTCCCTGTCTTCCCTTAAACTAAGAGATTAAAATCGCTTCATATCTTTCTTTCTACGAACCAATTCTTTCTTCTTATACTATTTCTCTATATGCAATCTTTCTCTTATTACCACCTTTGACCTAACCACTGCTATGAATCCGGTGTTCATCTTGTTGTGCTGATGCGGTATGGCAACCTGGACCGATGCACATATGTGCCTGGTCCTACGTTGTAGCTGACTGACTGACTGAGGCGGGAATCAAGACCGATAAGGACTCTGGACTGCTGGTACGGTTTTATACGTCATTGATCCGGTCGACAAGTTACTGTTCTCTAAATGGCAGTATCATTACGTTTATATATTAGTAGGGCATTAAGCTACAAGATATAACAGCATTTAGTTTTGAATATGATCGTCTTTTATGATGTCTGATGACATATTTAGTCAATCGGTTAGTCAAACACAACATAGAACATGACACATATGTACATCGACTGAATTTCCCAATACCCCATTACCACAGCTAGATATAATTATCATTTGAAGATGAAATGATGGATAATTATAACCTGTAACTTGTTGAGGATGTTAGATCCCCAGAACTCACTTGATAAGTACCTTATTTTTGTAATTTTATTTTAAAAATTTGAATTTTTTTTGCGCCAAAAGCGTTCACTTTCACCTTCATGTTGTATTTCCCACTTGGAAGAATCTTAAACGCTATTGGTTCGTTGTATCTTTTATTACGCTATTTTGTAACGCTTCCCAATGACAATTTTATGCTTTATATATACACGTTTGATTTGTGCATGTTGTTAATGCTCGTGCTTCTGGCTGCTTGCAGAATATATTTCCCCATTCTAATCTTAGACTTCTCTCCCTAGTTATCGAAGCTGGGACGCATAAGAATAGCTAACTTATTGGTCTTTAGTCACAGAGTTTTTGTTCCGTCCACAGACTAGGTGAACTCATAATCGCTTCAAACATATAGCATAAGAAAATATTTAAATATTTCACAAAATAAGATACTTACCATAATTCATTGATCAGATTATCTTTTCGCTTTTCAAATTCAGTTATGTTTGTTGTTAAATCATTTATCTTTATTTTGACATCATTAGGATACCGGAATTTCTCATCATTAAGACAAATTCTGTAACAATAATAATAACAATAATGATATAATAACACTATTAATTATTTGTGGATGGTATTCATCACAAACTAATCTTAATCAGGGTAATTTAGGAAACTAAACAATACTGCATCGCTCTTTCATCCTAGTGTGAGAAACCTCAGTAGAATGAATCTATGACCTGACTATACATCAAACCTAAAGTACCTCTTAAATCTTGAGATATATCACCTAAGGTTGACGAACCGTTTGTCACAATAATCATACAAATCTTAAACCGGTTGACTGCATTTACCAATATTAGGTCAGATGAACAATTGATGATTTCACAGATTGATGCCATATTTCGATTTAGCCGCTCCTAGCTTTCTTTCAATATACGCCTATACCAACCAGAGGAGTAGTACATAGTTTCAACCAACTCAATAGATCAAGATCCAAAATCATATCAACTAATTTGTTCAAGTCCGAAATTGAATGGAATGTATGTTCAAGAGTTGACTACCATTTGACATATAATCAATGTTTAACTACAGATAATACATGTAGCGATTCGCCCAAGGAACTAATATACCTGGTTGAAATCCACTGGTCACTGCTTCTCAGTAGAATTCCGGGTAATACCTCTTGAAGCCAGTCAATAGTGAGCATATGTTGATTAGTATGAGAAGGGGTTTTTTGTGGATATTATAGTAATTTTAATAGTTGAATTCATGGGTCATTTGAAGCTAGACCACAATAAAAAGTCTGGAAGCACTGGATGGCCGTTTGGTTCCAGCATGGTACACTTCAGCAGTGCACATCCACGATCGCGCCCCACGGGATTCGATCCCAGGACCTATCGCTGAATTTAGACATTAATACCGTTAGATGCCGGCTCAGTGGTCTAGATGTTAAGCGTTCGTGTGTGAAACCTATAGGTCCTGGGTTCGAATCTCGCTGGGCGGGATCGTGAATGCAAAAAATCGCTTACCAGTAATTATTAACATGCATATTGTTTTGAATGGACACTGTATTCATTGAGATGAATAATTTAATCATGAAGGTTTTATTGTTTGTTTTTTCCCAAAAATACCATTAGTTTCATAACAAAACTAGTCAACTTATAGTGGACGTAACTGTAGTGAACAAAAACACCAGTGGGGACAATCGAATGTGGTTGATACAAAATTACAGGACTTGTTAATAAAATCTAACAATCAAATAATAAATACGTAATTTCCGAAATGTCCATCAATTGTAATCACAATTGATTGATCACTGGGTGGTGATCAATGTCATGCGTGTCTAGTCCTTATTAATGCAGATCGAATGCTATCGAACATGTTGCAATGTGGCCACCAGTCTAGGTGACTCGACACTGCGGGCACTATATATTGAGATTAGATGGTGGTTGGAGGTAGTCCACAGGAAACCCGGGTCCAGGGTTTTCTGTCGACTACCTCCAACCACCATCTAGTCCATCAATTGTCTCATAATGACTAAGACTTCATTGTTCTTGCATTTTCATACAAATTGCATTCTGTTTCCATTCTTTACTATTCGATCCTCTTGTCTCTCTACTGCCAGACATTGTGTTTACGACTAACATCATCTACTACTTATGTCAATATAAGTAGCACAAACCACATAACAACATATCCAAAATCCCTACTTTTCAACTAGAATTATTATATATCTTTTCAACAAGAATATCATCATCATCAACAACAATAACAACAACAGGAAAAACGGATAATCACATTTATTTTTACCGAAAATTATGTATAGCTTCATTGATATTTATGATTTGCCAACGATTACGTTGTTCAGACCATGTAAGATTAGCAAAACGATGATGCATTAATTCAGCAAGATGAAGATTTTTAATTAGATTAGCTAATTCACGACGATTTTCCAATAATTCAATATCAATTGTCTAAATATTGAATTGAATTGACAATAATTAAAAAATAAATATTTATATATTTCAAATGATTAAATTCATGAAACGATCTAATCTAAAACATGGAAGAACTGGATGGTCATTACATCTTAGTATAAGATTCCACAATAGGTCACATTCATTTAGGACTCGAACAAGTTCATTCGTTAAAAGAAAATGGTGAGACTTTAATTTATGGACGAGCCAATCAGAGGCGTTTTAAATATTCCAAGGTTACAGAGCCAACTTCAGTGCTTAATGCTAACGTATGATCGGTCCACAGGGAATTTTGTACAAAACGTGATAATTGAGCGGCTATAACAAATAAAACAGCGAGACTATAATTTGTGAACGAATCAATCAGGTATAAGATAACAAATGTCGAACTTGGGCACGAAAGCGTTTCATCCATTTGGCTAAATAAATTTCTGGCATTATAGCTGATGTCAGTTCGTGATGAAAACCTCATATATAATTCCTAACTGAGGTAAATTACGAAAATTATTCCGAACTGGATAATAAAAGCACCAGTAACACTGGCTGCAGCCAGGTACTACAATATATACGGATATTTGGTGAGTGTACAAACTCATACATAGACTTGGTTATGTGTATTGTGTCGTTATCCAAAAGTGACATTTTGTGCACTCAACAATTGGAGTACACGCAAACAATATTGAAACTATGAGGTGGAAGCTGAAAGAGTTTTTGAGACTTTATCATTGCTCCAGAGGTCGACTATTCTATAGCCATATGGATGATTTCCTCTACTGCATGCATTACAATTTTAGAACCTCTGAACCTCTTTCTAACCTTGACAAGCTTTTGAACCACGTATAAGAAGTGTATCCATTTTCTTTCTTGGATTTTGTATATATTTTTACTCTATACTGACTGTTCGCTGATTGGCTAATATTCCTCAAGGTCACTGAAGATTCGTTCAAAGGTCGTCCATAAATTAGAGTCTCGCCAAAAAACTCCTCGGTGTTTTTTTTCGAGAACCTCCCATTATAAATATAGAAAATCACTGATCATGTTTTTGTTATCCTAATTAGGCAATGATCAAATTTGTTATGAATTTTAGAATGCATTCTAACAGCTTCTAGAATGTCCAGCGCTTTAACCGGGTTGATGAATATATGGTGGACCCATCTGGGGGAGTTGGAAAACTCTCATTCCAAACCAATGGTTCACATGGGCTCCAAGATCTTAAGGATACAAGTGACATATAAACCTATTGTTGGTCATGGAATTGCATCTTCCTACGTTGCTCCAATGCCTTGTGGACTAAACCTTTAGATCAAAGGCTCCGGTTGTGGCCCCCTAAGAAAACCACCTGGTTCGGTTTGGGCACTTGTGCCGTATCACAGCCCTCACACAAATCAACTGACTTGTGTGGTGCACACCAGGGTCACACACGGTCCTATAAATACCCTTATTTTTTGTACTGTTAAATTTTCATAATTAAGGTTTACTATGAACAAACGATGATTGCAAATATAGAAAGAGTTGAACTACCCCAATACAATCAATAATGGAAGATATCATACAACATTCGATCATTAACATATCAAGAAGATGAACTATAAGGAGAACTTGATATATATTCAAAACAGAACAAGTTGAATAAAACAAAGTGATATAACTCCTTCTAAAGCTTACATGAAATAAATGAATTAAAACCAATGAGAATCAATCAGAAGTAACCGAAAGTCATACGAAGAATTGATTTCAAAAAAAGAGTAATTAAGATTATCATTTCTAATCATATTAGTAAACATCTTAGTCTATTCTTTCTAAATTTTGTTTTTATGTTCTAGGTTCAAGAGTGGAAATTGTCTAGGAGTTAGGAAGTAGTTACACGGATTCGAAAAGCCCGGTTGGCTTTTACCAACTTACGTCACCTATGAAGAAGGCGAGATATCCGTCTATCAATAGAAGGACGAGTATACTGCGCGGCAGTCCGTTCTGTTTTAATTTACGGCAGTGAAACATGGCCATTAAGAGTAAAAGACACTCGTAAGCTACTAGTATTTGATCACAAATGTCTTGGAAATATTGCCAGGGTCTATTGGGATCACCGGGTAAATAATAGTGAGGTTAGGTGCAGGGTATTAGGGAGTGATGATGGTAAATCAGTTGATGAGGTTGTGAATCTTCATCGACTGAGATGGTTGGGCCACGTGTTTCGTATGTCTGAACACCGATTACCACGACGCTCAATGCTGACTAGTGTTGGGAATGGTTGGGAGAAAATTAGGGGCGGCCAAACCAAAACGTGGCGTCAGTGCTTGAAGACACTAACTTCTAGTCTGAGCCATGTTGGGAGATGCAGACTACTTGCTTGGGGTTCGCGTGACTATCGTAACCAATGTTTGGAGACTTTGGATGTTATTGGCTCCGAATCGATCACAATGGCGTCGGTGTATACACTCACTATCTTCCCTTAAACTATGAGATTAAAATCGCTTCATATCTTTCTTCCTATGAACTAATTCTTTCTTCCTGCACTATATCCTTACATGCAATCTTTCGTTTATATATTACCACCATTGACTTAACCACTCCTATGAATCCGGTGTTCATCTTGTTGTACTAATGAGTAAGGTATTACAACTTGGACCGATGCATATATGTGCCTGGTCCTACATTGTAGCTGACTGACTGAAGTAAGTGTTGTAGAATGCGGCTTATCAAATTACTAAACAGACATATCCTATTGATATTCAGATTCAACTTGATTATTAATAACTCACTAGCTAATTAGTGAAACTTGATAGTATCAAATAACATATTGTTTATTCCTTAATGGTAATTAAATAAAATTTTATAATTAGTATAATGTTGTGGAGATTATTAAGTTTTTGATTGAGATCATGAATTGATTGATGTTAGATCACCATTGAAAGCCTCGAAGCACTGGACGGCTATTTCACCCTATTATGAAACTCCTCAGCAGTGCACATCCATGATCCCGCTCCTCAGGATTCAGACCCAGGGTGCGCGCGAAACTGAAGACCCTGGATTCGAGTCCGTTTGATGCAGGATTGTGGATGTGCACTGTTGAAGAGTTCCATACTGGGACGAAACGGCCGTCCAATACTTCCAGGTTTAGCATGGTGGTCTAGTTTCAACTAACTCATAATCTCAATTATTGAAAATATCTACATATACTTAAACCATATTCATAAATGTTGATGTTCTATCTCTGTAGATAAGTGTCAACAAACTATATTTTTATTCCTACAGAGCTTGACATAATCCTCAATGAGATTCGAACTCTTACATCATATACATACAAACTTTCAATGTTTAACTTGATATTATATAGTAACAAATTATACTTATTACGTAATTCAATGCCTAACAACAAACTCACAAATATTTCTTTCTGTAATACAATTTGTAATTCATTTGGTGTTAAATGTGAATATTTACTTAAATAATCTGTCAATTCATGAAATTCCTGTTTTATCTAAACAAGAACAACAACAGAAAAACAAAGAGAAAACATTGAAGAAACCACTTATACTAAGATATAATGATAACGGTATTGGTATAGTAGTGAACGAAGACACAGGAAGGGGACAGTCGAATGTATTTGAATAAGAAATTACAGAATCTGAGAACCATACAATTAATACTTCATTTGTAAAATGTCAATCAATTGTCTCAGACTTCATTGTTGTTGTGTTTCCACACCAATCATTCTGTGTTCTGGTTCTCTTTTCTTCAAACTTCTTAACGTTCTACCGCTAGACATTTCACATTCTATTGATTATACATACTACTGATATTTATCGACATCATTAGTACAAACCACTACATTGCGAAGTGATGCATGGATGATAGTTGACAGATACATTCCAAGCGAGGGCCGGAGTCTGACAAGGCTGCTTACTCTCGCTCTTTCTCTTTCTTCTGATAGTCGACTGGATTATGAAGACCTCCATATATGAGTTGAAGCACAGGATACAATCGACGGCTAGGATGCGGATAGACGATCTGGACTTATCAAATGACCATGCCCTTCTATCCCATACACACCAAAAACTGCAAATCAATACAACTAGTGTAGCAGAAGCCTCTGCGGCAGCAGACTTCAACGTGCACAATAGAAAAAGCAATATCTTCAATTGTAACACGAACAACACCAACTCAATCACACTTGATGGAGAAACTTTGAAAGAGGTGGAAACTTTCACGTACCAGAACAGCATCATCGATGAACAAAGAGGATTGGATGCAGACGTAAAGGCATGGATTGGAAAGTAAGTGCAGCATTCCTACAGCTGGTGGTCAGCCTATGCTCGTCTACGAGGGGTATTAGGTGTAGGTAAGTAATAACTTATATCGCGATGTGTTAACAATGTTGTAGAACAGAGTCTTAACTCGTAGATTTCAGTTTCATTAAGAGTAAAATGTTGTTTATGAATGTTGCTGGACAGTTATTTATTTTGATGGAGTTTTGTTCTTTGAGCTGGATGGTTTGGTCGTAGAGCTTTCATCGTTGTCCTAAACGACATCGTCAGCACAAAATTCAGGTACCTGAATTAGAAATCTTCTCTACCAACTCTTCATCTTTCCTCAAAACCTGGATATCGAAATTATCTCTACGAAACCATTTTTCTCAAATCATATCTATATCTGTCTTCTTCTTCTGCTCCAGTATTTATCTTGTCAATCTCTTGTCGGTGTGCTAATAAATTGTGGTAACTAGGACCAGTATACATATATCTCAGGTGCTACTTTACATATTACTTACTGAAGAGGAGGTGATACAATGAGTAAGAATTATGTCTAATAGTCTTAATTCATTGGTAAGCAAATGGCCTACAACAGCCTGTAACATCAAATCATTTTCACTTTTCTATTAACAGGTTGTATATCAGAGTGTTATTTTATTATGTAAGAAAGCTTGATCTTTTGATTAAGGATTTTGTCTTTGATTACCGTCTATTCCAGAGTTTGAATCAATAATCTGGTATTGTGAGTAGTTATCATTCAGTCACAATGTATCATAGTATAGTCATTAATTGATCGGGATAGTATTCACTTATTTTGATCATATAAAACTAGTTCATCAAACACCTTTCCCATAACACTGTAACATGAAGCTGAATAATACAGCTATTGGTAAATTAACTTTATTGGTAACGGTTCAAATTATCCGGTTGTTTATATTTTGACTGAAATTTAATCATTATTATTTAGAATATGTACATCCTGTGCGGATCGCTTCCATATAATCGCTATGACAGAACTTCATATGAAATAGATAGGATATGGTCAGCAGTGGAATCCAGAATATGCGTCATTTCGTTCTATTTAGGATTCGTCAAGTGGATCAACCTGCATCCAAGAGTGATTTGATACTCAATCTAGGACTTGGATCTTAACAAATTATTCACCCAGTTACTGATTCTAAACAACCACTTACTTGTACAACGGGTGTTTGATGAGAAAAACACTGGGTTCAAGTCCCGAAGGTAGCATCAATTCATTAGGACGAAGATAGATCAAGATGATGAATTTTAAATGGAAGGAAACACTCGTCCTAGATTCCACTATTGACCACATTCCATTTATTTTGTGCTTTATTCACTTAGTTACAGAAAAATATCATGAACCAACTAACTGTCAAATAAGTATTTTTCTAGTTTACACTACAAATTGACTATAGGCAGATGATTATACAAACTGATTTTCAAGCTTTATAATTTCCCTATCTCTTCTCTTTCTGACATATTATCAATCTACTCAAATCATAGTTAATCAATTGTAATTGGTTAAAAGACATGTTTAAATTATCACTTCATAATAAAGTAAAAGAATATACTACTGAAATATATCTATATAGTAGTAGTAGTAGTAGTAGTAGTAGTAGTAGTAGTAGTAGTAGTAGTAGTAGTAGTAGTAGTAGTAGTAGTAGTAGTAGTAGTAGTAGTAGGTAGTAGTAGTAGTAGTAGTAGTAGTAGTAGTAGTAGTAGTAGTAGTAGTAGTAGTAGTAGTAGTAGTAGTAGTAGTAGTAGTAGTAGTAGTAGTAGTAATAGTAGTAAAATACATCATTATTATTAATAATTATATCTCACTCAACTTGATTAATCCGTTTATTTTCAATTGAATATAATTGATTTTCTAAATGATTAATTTCATTTCTACGTTGAATATATTCATGATCAACTTGATTCCATTTACAGTCTAAATCAGATATTTCCAAGTTCAATAAATGCTGAAATAATAATAATAATAATAATAATACATATTGAAAAGAGCACGAACAAAGATTCCTAGCAGAATATCATCAATTCATTATATTACGTTGGGTGGCTTAACAATAGGTAGTCTATTAGATCCATTTATGGCAGATACACGGTACTTAAATGAGTGATAAGGTGAGACAGCGGAATACTCTAGATATGTTGATAACATGTTTATTGTCTGTAAGAATAAACAGAATACAATTCACCTGTTATAACTCTTAATATACAGTTCACTATGGAACACGAACAGAATGGCATGTTCCACATTCTTCATGTTGCCATAAAACGTAGGGGAGAGGGGACAGTTCAACGTTTAGTTTATCGAAAAAGTAATTGGAATGGCCTTTACCTGAATTTCAATAGTTTTTGTCCAATCAGTTACAAGAAAGCATTGGTTAAAACATAATTTTATAGGGTAGAAAGGATATGTACCACCAACAAACTGGAAGAAGAATTGATGAACTCTGAGAAATGCTTAAGAGACAATTGCTACCCACAGAAATTTATTGACAAATATAAAAAACTTAAAGAAAACAAGACGGAAGTGATTACGGTCAATAAAAAACCAACATCTATAAATCTCAACTTTAAAGATGATGATGTCGCAAACACAATCAGCAGGAGGCTGAACACTGCACTAGCCAGAACTTACCCGGCAGTCAAACTATTAATTCTGTATAAAACAACATGTTTAATAACTTAATCAAACGTTGACAAGCAGCCCTTTCATATTACCGCCAACTGTACTCATAAATTTACATGTACCTGCCAAAGCAGCTACACTGGCCGAACAGAAAGAAGGGTATATCTTAAATTTTTTGAGAATGTTCCAAAAAGCCTCAGAACAAGAGAAAGAAAAAGTTTAAACAGTGTAATTACCAAATATCTCATGGATACAGGATATCAGATAGATAACTTACAATATTTCAGGGTGATTAGTAGGCAGCCAAACTCCAGTCTTTTGAAGCCGTTGCTATCAGGCATCAAAATCCTGATTCGTGTGTTCAAAAGGAAATGATTATTAATCTTTCCTTGCCTTTGGTGACAAATATTCCTTCGTTGCATCTTAAACATCGTTTTTACTCTTCCACATTAGTAATCTTATTTTATTCACTGAGCTTTACTCATTTTATTCCCATCACTGTTTACTCCTTATGTAATCACTTGTATTCTGGTCGTTTGAACTGTTGTCACAATCAAAGTTGTAGAATGTTCTCCCACATAAGGTATGTATATATTTACAATATTCAGTTTAATAAATTTATTTACACCCTTGCTACACTATACTAATATGTCTTTAACATAACTTCCAACTACACACTTTCATGTAAGTAATTTGAACCCATTTCATAATTAGGTTCTTAAATATCACAGATTGTAAGCAGCTGATGAGAACCAAACAAAATTAGATAAATTCATGCTATTCTACTACAATTAATATAGGTCCTGGATTCGAATCTCGCGAAGTGGGATAGCGGATGCGCACTGCCGAGGAGTTCCACGATGGGATGAAACAGTCGTCTAGTGCTTCCAGGTTTTCCATGGTGGTCTAGCTTCAATTGACTGATGATCTCAACCATTGAAATTACTTTACAATCCACAAAAACCCCTTCTCATACTAATCAACATATGCTCACTAGTGACTGGATTCGAGAGGTATTTCCAGGAGTTTTAGTGAGAAGCAGTGACCAGTGGAGTTCAACTGGGTCTATTGTGAGATAGTAACTCATTGACGACAATGGTGGATATATAGCTCAATTTACTGGATTGGTTAAAGTTAGACATTAACACTGTCGGATGCCGGCTCAGTGGTCTAGAGATTAAGCGTTCGCTCGCGAGACTGGTAGGTATATATATTTACAATATTCAGTTTAATAAATTTATTTACAGCCTTGCTATACTATACTAATATGTCTTTAACATAACTTCCAACTAAACACTTTCATGTAAGTAGGTTCTTAAATATCACAGATTGTAAGCAGCTGATGAGAACCGACGAAATCGGATGAATTCATACTATTCTGCAAGAATCTATGTTCTTGCTCTTTTCAAAACGATCAAGGGAACTCTATGTGTATGAAATAATACATATGATAAACTTTCCAAATGTACCAACTCAAATGTGATGTATGAAAAAACTGATACAAAGGATATTTCACTAAGAAATGCATATGGCACTTATTTGATAAGTGTTACACTCTTTTAATTTGGTGGTTTAAAATTACTGAGCTTATGTTACCGCTTTCATTGTTGCTTAGAAGTAAAGCATTAAATTAGTGTATAGACGCTGATAGTGTTATGCAGAATAACAATGAAAGTTTTTACAGTGGAAGGTATTCAAATTAGATAATACAATAAAAGAAACCAGCTGAAGTACAAATCTTCTCCATCATTTCAAGATGAAACATAAAACGTGAATGAAGAAAGTGGAATGATTTTCCTTTTAATTGTACATCGAAAGAAGATACGAAGACGTTTAAAATGAAAAGTTGGAACAGATCAATGTAAATTCTGATCTACGTCAATGACTGAGCGGAAAAAGTGAAGAGGTAATTAATCTATGACATGAATGCGGAGTATAAAGAAAGTTGCATTAGATTAACGTTTGCTAGTGCATTAAGACTTCCTGATTGGGGTCCTAGAGACAATACAAAACACCGGTTTGGGACGTTAATAGACGCGACCGGAAATTTAAGCCAGTCTCAATCGTGCTATAGCTTTCTTCATCGTTCTTTACAAAAACCAGAGGAACTCCTTCAATTGAAATAATTCTTCCTGGATGTTTGTTCTAAATTTAACTGTCACTTTTATGATAAACTAGTCTTGATTACGTATTTTTGGTTATTTGTGCAATTCTGGATTATATTCGCTATCTTCCATCTATCTCTTCATAGTTTCATTCTTTTATTCGTTAATCTTGATCGTCTTAACAATTCTCATTGGTTGGTGGTTGAGACAAGATTTTGAGATGGTGGAAAAGATTTGTATCTCAGGTGGAGGATTTTGACAGAGTTTTGTTCTTTGAACTGGATGGTTTGGTCGTAGAGAAGGTAGACGTTTGTACTGATGATGTTGTTCAGAAGAACAATGAAAGCTCCACGACCAAACCATCCAGCTCAGAGAACAAACCTCCAACAAATATGAAACAAGATTGAAATGGATATCAAAATCCCTCTGCTAACTTTTGATTTTCCATGATTAATCTAGTACTTCCTTATTATGTATGCTAATAGTTAGAGTCTTGTTCAGTTTAAAAGACTCACTTTATTCCTGGTATAACAAAAGAATTAAAACACTTTCTTATTTTCGTAATATATTACTGTAATATGATTATAGAACTATATTCTGAAATTCTCCTATCACCAGATTGGATATTCGATCGATACGCTATACATGGACTGAATCACGTCATATAGGATACACGACTCGTGATCAAAAATAGAAAACTAGAATAGAGACTAGATAATACTTTACCCAATACAATTACAAGCAGACTGAACTCAATAAGTCCAGGGTACAAACCAATAATTGGAAATGAATCACATATTAAATGGTTAGTAATCTGTCCACGCTTAGCGTTTAATTGAACCTTAATCCGATCAACTGCATATCACTTCCAAATAAAGTGCTTAATTCATTTAAACTAATAGGTGATATTCTCATTTGTAAATTAATCCTTGTTTAATTATCTAAACAGTGTATTTCGTTTTCGACTGTTTGTGGTTCTGGGGAGCATCTAACACCAACGTACAATCAACAATTAGAGATTCATAAATTTACAATGGTCAATTTGATTCCCATAATAAAGCTATAGTTTCAGATATATCTTGTTATTTGGTTTCGGTATTTCACAAGTAAATATGGTATTACGTAAGATTTGCAGTATAATAATTCTATAAAATTACAGTTTTGTACCAACTATCTGATATGAAATCAGTTTTCTTCTTCAAAATCAGGGCAATTATTTCAAGTCTATACACTTCCTGAGAACAAACATATTGTAAGTCAAGACTAACTTGACCTGAAGACAAGGAGTTGCATCTAAAACACAAGATTTGAAGATTATGTTTCAAAAACCATAGAGATTAATTGTTTTTGGTCCATCCTGAATAACTACCTTCTCGAGTTTGTATGGATTCACATGTCAGCCAGTCAGTCAGTCAGCTATAAAGCAGGACCAGGCACATATGTGCATCGGTCCAAGTTGTCATACCCCATTAGCACAACAAGAAGTAGTTAATTCAGTGGTGGCGATATATAAAAGATTGCATATAAGAACATAGTACAGGAAGAAAGAATTAGTTCGTAGAAAGAAAGATATGAAGCGATTTTAATCTCATAGTTTAAAGGAAGACAGCCATTAAGACCACAAATTCACTAGTAAATTTGCTTTGATGAATATATACATCAATGTATAATCTATAAAACATAATGATTATTCAGGACTACAGGAGACAAAATGATGGTTACTAAACAGGAATCAAATAATGTTAACAATCACATAATACCAACCTATCATATTTCGAATATAATCTACAACTTACTTCATCAGATTGATTTGCATTTAATATTTGATTTTGTCTTTCCCAGCTAGTATTTAATAAGTCAGCAGTAGTTTCACAACATTCTTTTACTTGGTTTTCAATATCCTAAAATAAAACAAAAGAAATTTTGTGGTTCTCAACCGTGATCTCTTTGTTGATGAATGTTAATGTAAACTTTTAGTGTTCATGTGAAGCAATAAAAGGTTTGCAAACAACCGCACACCTTGTTTATAATTTTCATGCAGTACATTCACATATGCCCACGATGTTTTTCTACATACAAACGCCGGTTTAATCGCTACTATCAGAGCACGTTAAAAACATATCTGGAAATTTTTGTATAATTGAATAAATACATACATTTTGTAGTGATCTGCTTTTATGACGAGAATGCGATTGGTGTAATGGAAACATTTATTATTATGGCCAACTGCACCAACGATTGTTTTACTGTACCTTTTTATTTAATTGTATCAAAACACATACTTTTCCGTCGTGCATGACCTTGAACTTACTCATGTACGCATGGTAGTCTCGCTTGTAAACTTTGGCACGATCCCGGTATTAGTTCGATACGACAAGATCACCAACAAATACATCCTAACTACAATCTACAACTGTCCTACCAATATTTATCCTACGGAGGGATTTAATCTGGTAATTGGCACGTAATCAATCTGTAGTGGTGACCATAGTCAACTGAGACCCGACATTATCACATATTATCATTGCTTATTCTAAAATATTGAACTAAATTTAGAGAAACCAAATGATTCACAAACGTTTTATGGGTATCGTTTAACGACATTTTTAACTGTTTTAAAAGACAGAAAAAATTACCAAAGATAAAGATTGGATTGGTAACGAAAGCCAATTGCTTTTTAAATACAAAATGTTGGCGCAAGCAAAGTGAAGGTCTATGTTGACAAGTAATGGAAAAAGTGAGGATGATCAGAAATTCATGGCGTTTTACACTTTCTGTTAATATCCGCATAAAACTACACAAGCACTAGTATAGTTTGAAAAAAATAAATATAAAAAAATAGAATGGAACTTATTGGCTGATAGAAACAATATCTTACTTGGCTAATTTCCGAAAGCTTTTCATGCCATTGTCTCAACCGGTCCTTATGTTTTTCTTTTCGACGAGAGGTTAAACGTTGTAGTATGTTAGTGGAATCACACTTTTGTTGTGATACCGTGCATTTATCAGCAACTAATGGTGGTAAAACAAGCTGATAATCTGATTCCAATAAAATAGGATCAACTGAAAAAGGCAGATTTTGAACAACGATATGTTCTTCATAATGGGGAATCTTATTGAACGCCTGAGAAATTAGTGACAAAAGAAAAAGTAGTGGTTTATGTGAGTACATTAATTAGGTATATCCTTTATGTTTCTGGCTAAAGTTACCGATAACAAGCTTTTACATTGACTATGGTAAGAAGGCAAATATTGATAAGACTCAATTTCATGGAGACCGGAACATTTAGTCCATATATTCATCCAAGAAGTGGGTAAATAAGCAATAAATAGAACTGCGACCAAAAGCCTTTTCATGATCCTAAATGCTGCCTTATCGTGACATGAAAGCCCAAATAGTGTCATTGTAAGCACTAGTATGTAAATCTATGTAATTCGTTGGGAAAATATTTATGTTTTCCTCCTAGCGTTTAAAAATGTGACTCGTCTTCAGTACATAAATTTTATCTTTGTCATTTTTTATCGATTTTTCGAAACTGTATTTACTTTAGTATTAATAACCGTGATTATTGCAAATAACACACACCGAATATTTCAATTTGCAGCTTACTGAAGCTTTATAATCAAACCGAGTATAAAGTATGTCTAAGTTGACACATATGGTAGATAGTGTCTAAAAATATCCAGGTTAAAACCGTTTATAAACATGTATTCCCAACGAACTGATTAAGGTTGACTTATTCCATACAAATCTGACTGGTGCCAAATTATAAAAGAAGGATTATCCCATATATTTAAGTGCGTTCTCACTAGTCTTACAAAATAAAAATGGCTTCACAAAGTTACATAACGTTGAAATAAACCTCGATGAAAAGTAAGCAGTGTCATCAGATTCATGTGAAAGAACTTCATTCCCCACCTTACTATATTTTGTATCACAAATTGTGTTTTACTGATGCCTAAATTATATGAACAATAACGTTATCTCCACCCGATCTGCAACTGTGAATGCCGACATCAAAATAGATTATAACACCTCACTTGAATGGTACTAAAGAGGTAACCATAGGCTGAGAGTTCTTTTTCGATTTAGGAACAAAGCCTTTTTTGTTAGTTAATAAATCATGTATAATTCACTGTGACGACAGTCACATTAATAAATAGCTTTGAATATCGAATGCCGTAACAGTCTATTTGCTAATGGTACAAGGAATGAATTACGAAAAACACCTTAAAACCACCTATTTAACTTCTATTCTAGCAAAAAAAACTTTAGGGCTTTTAAAAACTTATCTAAAATATACTCTAGTCCATTATTTCTTGAAGACCTACTGATGAAATGATCACTGACACATTATTTGTTTGTCAACTAACCGCAGTCAACAACTTCACTTGGCTCATTCTGCACGCTTGTAAGCTTCTGTAATGAAAATAATCACTAGTTATTAAAAGCCGGAATTTCGATAACCCGCTGCAGAAAGTACTATGACAACGATGAGTGTTCAGCAGATCATGGATGTTGTAAGCAAATTTGCTGTGTCGAGTAGTCTACACCTTAGTAAATACAGAAAGAAAAAGGGAATTTCAATTCATTCAATTGTTTTAATATCTGATGTCATTGCCAATTCAATGCTCTCGTGTTAGTCTCTACTATGACAGGAATTTTTCATATTACTGTCCGATGATACTCTTGTCAATGTTTTTGTTTTGTTGAGAACTGTTAAGTGTTTTGCTAGCCACTTATCTGCTTGAGAACTAAATGTGCCTTCAGATACATTGTACTGTCATATCTTAATCAGGAATATCTCGAATTTCGTGAATAATACTTCCTAGGCAACAGTGTAGCAATTCAGTAACTCCTAGAAAACTCGAGTAGGAGAATATTAACTTACGGCAACTCAAAGTTCAAAACTACAAACTGATCCCTTATTCTGATTAAAATGATATATAGTAAGGAACAATACCCTATAAATTGGCTTTGTTTATATGCTGACCTTGCTAGCTTTATCAGGCACTTCTTGCAGAAGGGATTCATTCATGCATCACTATCAGGTTTTGGCCTAATTTAATGTGAAGCCACTATCATCTTCAGGATAGTAAGTCTAAATTTCTTGCACTTATCTGTCAAGGATATTCTTCCTCGCGACAATCATCGCCTTGTGAGTTGTTTGTCTCCAAGTTAATCGTCGTGAGGTAGTTTATAACTAATATTTACTAAACCTTCTATAGCTGATTTACTCAACAAAGAGCAGTAGAGTAAAAAAGTTAGCAGGCATCACACTCCTAATTAAAGTGACTCAGAAGTTTGAGATAGTGTATAAGGTGGCTACTCGTGAATACCACCCCATGAAGAGTATTCACATCTTAAAGTTTTATTCTCTATTAAGAAACTGACTGACTTCCGTACGACATGGAACCTGGTACGTATGTACGTCAGTTCTAGTTGTTATACCCTATCAGCAAAGGTAGATGAAATTGTCAGACCGATCCCGAGAATAATAGGTGCTGTGACAGTGTCAGTAGTCAAAGGAAATATTAGACACAGAAGACCCTATTCGACAAAAAAGTATAAGTAAAAGGAAAAAGAGTTGTGAGTATTTCAGAGTCTTAAGGTTTGGGGAAAGACATAAAACCGATGCACCTGTGCCACTGAAAATAATTCTGAACTCAATCATTTAAAGCCCCTAACCATTAGTCATGATGTCACACGGATCTAAACCCACACCTATTAACATGGTTCAAGTCTCTCTATCACGTTTTGTTTTGCCACCCCCCCCCCATCTTCCGATCCACTCCTACATCAGAAAATATCGACCGCCGAGACACGGTGATCCGGTATACTTAACGCGTGTCCCAACCGCTCCACTTTATAAATATTAACTACCTCATCAGTCGATTTACCATCCTTACCTAGTACCCTATTCCTAACCCAGGCATTCCTTATTACGAGGTCCTAAAACAGACGAGCGATGTTTTGAAAACTGTTATATCTCAAAGGGCCGCCGATCAGAGGGCAGAAACTCATCGATCGGATGAACGGATTCAAAATCTCGATAGACTATTCTGATCCGTTGTCCCCGACTCAGCTAACGCGATCAAGAAGTCTTGGTAGGGCGTAGAAAGTGTATTCTACAGGCAACTAGCGGATACCAGGTCAGGTCAGGTCAATCAGCCACACAAATCAAGCGTAATTATACAAATATTTGCAATACATATTGACATGAAAATCTTTTTAAACATTAATCAATAAGTTCGTCAATTAACCGCTATTTAAATATTTAAACATTTAATCGATAAGTTAATCGATAAGATGAAATTACAAAAGTGAGTTTTGGGGATCTATCGTCCCCAACTAAAACACCTTCGACCGAATATTAGTAACTTCCGAATAGTTTCTATTTTAATGACTGTTTTTCACATCGTTACAGTAGAGAGGATCAAACTCCTGCAAAGTAAACTCATACTTTAATTGACACAGGGATATTTCGCCCACTCCACAAGTGATGCAAGTTGGCAAAATCCAGTCGAGCTTTCTGAGTCTGTGCCGAGATTTTGCCGGACACCGGGCCGTCAGGTTGAATAAGACTCCCAATATAATTGAAGTGGTCCGTGCGTTCAACTGTTGTGAACATAAAGACGGGTGGGGAAGACCAATACATTTCAGTACAAAATCACAGAATCTCCTTGTAAAACACGAGGACTAGACACTGAATACTTCCTTTGCAAAATTAAGTCATTTTGTCCCTCGCATTATGTATTATTCTTTCAATCCACAACTTTTGTATTTCCGTTTCTGTTTTTTCTTCAACTTGATCTTCTTAGCCTTCTGCCGTCAGGATTGCTACTTCCTTTTGGTGCTACATATTAAATAAGTAGCATACATCGCACAACTACCTGACTTCCTATCACTAATTCAATCAATGACGCAAGCCAATATTAAAATAACATTTTTCAGTTTGTGACGGGGTACTGTAGAACTATGGTCTACTATAACATTAGTACTGCTCTAATAATAGACCTAATCCTAAATTTGTAGATTCGTCATGATATAACTGCCTAATCTATAAGATCTTACGTGGAAGTCACACCATCGACTACACCAACTCACTGTATCGTATCAATTACCAATACATGATGAAGAACAAGGTTAGGTTAGAGAAGGAACAATATATTTAATATGAATAGAGACCACGCCTGCATGGCCGAGCCATGCCACTCGATCAACAACAGTCCATTCAATTCATTGTTCGCGCCTTCTCCATTTTTAGGTATTTCTCGGCGTTAAATATTGAATATTTATTTTCTGAGTAGTCTCGTGTTCACAGCTTTGTGGATTGTGTGGCTATTGTCCAATGCCACTACACTACTCTCCCACCAGAATCAACGTGATGTTGGTTCGATACCAAATTGGATGGGATCGTCGCGCGCCGGAGGTTGCCAAGGATAATAAGAATCCTCCGGGTATTGGTAAGCTGAAAGATAAATCAAAAAGAAGGCGGCAGCATCTGGTCGGGAAATTTATGTAATAATATTTTAAAAAAATCTGCCTTCATGCTTAACACACTTAAAATGACAATTTGGGTGAAGATTATTTGAGCTATAAAAAATGGGATTACAATAATAATAAAACGATGCGTGTTAATAACTTAACTTATGGGCAGTAATTATTTTGTGTTTAGAAATATTAAAATAATGGATATTGTAGAAATGTTAATATTGGTATTAGTTTTGGTTTAAATTATGAAATCAAATAACGATTATGCCGGTAAGTTGTCCATATGAGTTGAATTCCAATTGCATCTGTATTAGTAGGCTAACTGAAGGAACAAAAGTATACCGTGGAGAAGAATTCCAACTAGTGTCCCAGTTAGTTTGATACGGCTTATTTAGTTACGGGGAGATTTTCTCAACCTTATTTTTACTTGACCGTGATAGAATTTAGTAATACTACTAATACACATGAATGGTTATTAAAAGAAAATTTCAATATATGAGTGATAATTATATGAGTTTTGGACAGATAGCTAAGAACAAATCGTTAAACATGAGTGTATTCGTAAGAGACATGCTCTAGACTCAATGTTCTGAGTTGCCATAGACTATTTATACATATTTATACCTGACGGCTGATGATGCATACAAGTTAGTTGCAAGTATGCAGTTTATCATAAGGCGGAATACGATTTAATTGAGATATAGTGGTTATAAGTTATTGAAATCAGTTAAGCCTATGTGTCATATTACGAAGTGATGTGGTGCTGCAAGATGTATTTAGCTAAATATGTTTTTACAAGATGATTAATAGTGAGTGATGCTCATGTGATTATCAGGGAGAACATAAGTTGTAACCAAGGGGAGGTACACTCCCAACTCATGTCTATGACAATGGCTTGAACCTTAGTCAGTGTTGGGGTAAATTCGACATTGATGTTTTCAGTTTGCAGGAGATTTGCTCGACTGCTTATACTGATTATTTGCATGCATGATTGTGTCGCTAAACCATCAATTAGACTGACAAGGTTTTGAGATATTTATTGAATGAGCAACTGATAGAGAAACATACTGTAATCATCTGTGATGGATGAAGATACCAAGAAAACAACACCATTTAATGGTAGTTATAAGTCAATTTGTTGACTGATTTCGTTAATAGTTTCATTAATTTTATCAATCATATTACGTGATTGTCAAGTTATGACAATGCTTTATGACGATATCCTGAAACTATTATGTTTAACTAGTTATAGTGTTGATTGAGGATTAGTCAGTGGAAAAATAGGTATTGTTGCTTTATGTGATTCGAAATTATCAGAAATTTACAACGTTAAGGAATCCGAGACGCCTAATTTAATTATATTTTTCAATTCAGAAATATTCGTTTACAGTTAATTCTAGTAGGCTACGGAGTTTTGATTTCAAACGTTTGTTTAGCCAACAGCTACCTGGGGATTTAGTTATTTTACTAGTGCAGTTGATAGTACTTAAATTTTTTATCTTATTATCTAAACTATGTTCGCATTTTAGGCTGCTAATATGACAAACCAATCCATAAACCCAAATACGATTAGCAACAACGACTATGATGGGTTTATTGATAAATGCTAAAGGCGATTCAGATGATTTCTAAATTTAGAAGACATGGAGATATAGTGTAACGTATGTATGGGCCAGGTTAACATGCAGGTTGTTGACGTATATGACGATTTAAAAATAATGAACATGACCAGAAAATAGTTTTAAAGTTTAGACTGCTTGTGAAACTTCAGGCAGGAATATGATGCGTTATAAACATTCCATAAGGAGTTACTGCATTTAGCCTAGGGACACTTACAAATATATAGCAAAAGGAACCGGAAAACATATACATGTTAAGTAAAAAAATCATTAAGTAAAATAGTTGAACTCGCCTGGGTTATTTTTGAAAATTAGATTATTCAGTGGACGACATATATAACGCCATTCGTGAGTAG